TGTCTTTCAAAAAGCTTTAGGGAGCTGCAGAGTTTATCAATGGACCAGGATGAGCTATCAGTTGTACGTTGCAGGGAATGGAGGATAAAGCTGAGTAAATTCATCCTGTTACTGCTCAGGGTTTAGATATGCTCTTAAATATGAGTGTCATAGTATGCTGTGTTAGGAAGCTGGATGCTTTGCTGGCAGAGCGCTCATAGCTTCAATGCTGTTTTCCTGGCAATGTTTCTCCTGTGTAATAAATATCCCTGCAAAACCGTAGCAGTAAAAATGCAGCTTTGAAGTAGCTGAGCCCACCCGTAGGACCATGCCTGGCAGGCTGAGATCAGTCTTTCTAGACCTTTGCCAACACACCTATGTGGCACAGACACCGCCAGTATCTCACTACAGCTAGTGCTGGCAAGTGTTTCTTCCCTACGCTGAGTGTTTGACTAAAGGTACATTTGGGTGGAAGTGACTGCTAGCAATGTGTAAAAGCAAGCATCTTAATCCAAGTGAAACTTCATTTTATTCAGTGAAATCAAGTATAAACATACAAGACTTATTCTACTGCCATAAACACCACAGTGCAAGAATAACTTTTAAAGGTGGCCTGAGGACCAGAAAGTGAACTAGAAGAGTTTAAATATTTTCAAAAACAAATCATCAGATGCAAATGATCAAGATAAACCTGGATTTTTAAAAAAATAATGTCCTGTGTGTATGTAAACTTGGAGCACACAGGTAAGCCTGTGGACAGTTTGCCACTATATATTTTTTGGGAGGAATCAGGACCCTCCTACCAGAAAAGTGTTTGGGGTTTTTTCCCCCCCTGGTATTCATATCAGTTTCAGTTGGCTTTTTTCTCTTATGAGTTATTAATACTTGAGGTATGCAGATGCTGGGTATAGATGGGAGTGTAACAGTATCCAGAATTTTATGGTGTAGCTTATTGACCTAGGAGGAACTGCACTGACAAAGGCATTTATTCTCCATGGACAAGTCTTCATCTGGTTTAGAAACATTTCTGGAAAAGCTGTTTCTAGTATAAACTCAGTGGAAAGTAACATAAATGAAAAATGATGGTGCTGTAGTATCTCTTCAGGTGAGAGAACAGATTACCCCACACTGAATTTTCCTTATGGCCTTTGCAGTGTTTTGGGTTTTTTGTCTTCCCCCTGATTTATAGGTCTTGGGGAGAATAAGTGAGCCTTTGACATGCTTGGGAGGAGAGGGAGCTCCTCAGAAGTGGGTTTGTTTTGTTTGGGGAGGAGAATCTGCCTGAGGCTGCCCCAGGACATGTGATGGAGAGTGACTTAAAACCTAGGATGTATTTTCACAGCTGTTGTGGGAGCTTTTTCCATTTAACACAGCACAGATGTGGATGATAAAATATAAATTGAAGATTAATGTACACTATCTTGGTGTGTGAGAGGTTCAATTATAGGCAGAGCAAGCAGAATAATGGAAAATACATTTGAGTGATTGTTCAGTTAATATAATTTCCAATGAATTATTCACAATTTGTTCACCCAGCTCTTATTGTAATAATTTTCATTCCCTCATTTACTATGCATTTGGAACTGCTTCCCACAACTTGTGCTTGACATGTAAGAAAGTGTATCCACGCATCCAGCCCCTTCTCTCCACCTGCCCCCACCTACACAAAGGACAGATTTTAAAGGGCTCAGCATTTTAGGCACTGAGCTCTCTTTAAGAAGTTAATTGTAAGTGTTAAAGTGGAGGTTGCTGCCTGCTGAACCCGCTGATGTGACCCATAAAAGCCTATTCTGTTGGGCTTGGAGTGACCTGAGCTCACAGAGGGGCTCGCCGAGGGCTCATTTGCACACTGTATCTTGTGCACATGGGGGGGATCTTCCTTCCACGAGTGGTGTGCTGAGGCTTGAGCTGACAGAAGGCGATCAGCTGGCGTCGAGTGATTAGCCTGCGTCCTTGCGAGCTGAAGCATATGCTTCCCACCTGTATGGCAGCATTCGTGCCCAGGGGTGGGAGGAGAAGGTGTTGGGCTTTGCAGCAAGGCGTGTGGCACCAGCAGGCTTGAAGAGGAGAACTTTGCTTGCTCAGGTCCCTGTCCCTTATGTTGTGCATTAAGTAGTAGAGTGGGTTGGAGACAGTGCCACAGCCCTGGGGCTGAGGGTCTGGCTTCCAGCACTGCAAAGCATCACACTTGTGCCCTCCTTTCCTATTCTTAAGGCACTGGAAAACCCACAAATGCACATTTCTCCTGGAGTTTATCAGAAAGGAGGACTCATTCTTCTCGGCCATGTGGGAGGGGCTGCTCCTGGGTAGTGGGCATGGAGAAGATGTCCATGTCCTCCCTCCACACCCCTCTGCAGCTCTGCCTGCAGGGAGCAGGGTGTGATGAAGCTGCTCTTTGCCACCCCTTGCCCTGCTGCTGGGGATGGTGGGTAGGAATTGGGGCTGTGTTCTGCTACAAGTTTGGTGAGACACTGGGTAAATCCCCTCACTTGTAAAAAGGGGCATAGGTAATAAGAAATGGCAGTTCTTGGAGCCTTCTGCCTAGTTGTTGGGATGTGTTGTTTGGAACATGGGGAATACCAGAGGCAACATCCCTCTGACTGTGGAGAAAAGAGCCAGGACTCATTGCTGCCTAGCCCTGGGCTTCCACTGCCAAACCCCCAGATTCAAACTTCAGCTTAGGACCAGTTGGAAAGGAGTTTGATCTCTTCTTCAAGCCATGTTTGCCTGGACTCATTGCTCCTATATCCATACCTAACTTCCTTACCTGACTTTTCTATGCTCTTTTCTGGTGTCTTGTGGTTGTCAGTCTTCAGTGTGTTGGGAGATACTGGGAAATGTCTTGAGGGCTGTGGTGAGCCGGGCTGAGGGCTGGTGGGAGCCAAGGGGAGGTGCACTGCAAACATGAGGGCTGCTGCAAGGGTTAGTGGAGAATTCAAAGCTGCTTTATGGTAAGATAAATCCTTCTCTGAACCTTAACCCTTCAAGGACTCTTACAAGCTCTGTCAAGCCATGATCACAAAACCTTCAACACAAAACCCCATACTCCATAGCAAGCTGGGATTTATGCTGCTGCTTCTTGCCATGGAGGGACAGCACTTTAAAGTTAATCTGCCAGCATCTACTTGTCCAAATCTCCATAATCAGGCAAAACATGATTATGGAGATGCATGTCATTAGAACACAATGGCTCTTAAATGACTGAGATTGAATTAATACGCTAATGGCAGAGCATCCAAAGTAAATAAGATACAACCAGATCCACTCATGAATGACTCACCTATCACTCAGCTTGGATTAGGAGAGCAAGAGCTTGGGGCTGGCCAGAAACAGTAGAAGCATGGTCTTTAAATTGGATATATTGGCTGGGGTTCAGTACTCTTATTACTGTCAAGCATGCAAGTGTTGGGGGGTGTGAGCTGAGTGTAGGCGTGGGCTTCCTGCACTGGCCTTTGAGCTGGAAAAAACTCAGACTCTTTGGACTTGCCGCGGTGGGGGACAAGTTTTATTCTTTGTTGTATTCTGCTTTTTTTGTATCAGTTTCTTCAAGCAAGTGTCAATGCCTTGAAATTATTTCCAGCAAACGTAAATTCCAGCATTCGTTTTGAGTTGGGCAAAGCAATCCTGTGATATAAAGTGTTTGATTTCACTTCTGTCTGGTTTTGCCTTCCTTTCTGATAACGTCAGACCAGTGGCTTCCAAACAAAACTTCACTTTGGTTTTGATTTGCCTTTCTTGCAAGTGCCTTTTCCAGATCTTTTAAACAAAGCTTCATAAATCAACACTGATGTCATTGTGGACATGTTTTCTGTGTTCCGCTTTGGATGCCAGAAGTGCTCTGTCCCCAGGGGCAGCCCTGGGGCTGTGCTGGGGGAAGAGCTCCCTCTAACAGCAGGAGCAGGGGCTGCGGGGTGCTTCGGGAGTGAGCAGCCTTGCAGTCATTTTGATTGCCAGCTCTGAAGATGGTTGTTGCCCTTTTAGCTTTGATAATTAGCTTCCTTATTTTGCACTTAATGGTTGCATCCCTGACATCAAATAAGATGGGACTTGAGTATCTGTTGCTACCCCGGCCCCAGGGAGATGATTATGAACTTGTCTGTGCTGTCAGTGATGTTTGAGGTGGGAAAAGCATTAGGTAGTGAAATCTCTGGAGGAAAAAGTAGGGAATGAGCAAGTAAACAACAGAAGATGGGTATAGATCATCAAGATCTGTCAGCAGTGTTGACTTTGAAGAGTTCCTGGTGTTGCTATTAATTTACATCCTCTGCCAGGCTTATTGCTATTACCCTGTGCAAGATCTGTACCTCAGAGCAAACTTTATTTTCATCTAGGAGCTAACAACTTTCCATGTGTTTCAGAAATTTGCATTTTAATGGAATAAATCTTATCCTTTCCCCTGAAAGCAGCAATTAAAAAAATAAAGCCCCTGGGAAGCTTTCTTCAAATACCCAACAGCTCATGTGAATTGTCCAAAGCAACCCTGGTGTATTTAGGTGTGCCAGGCCCCTGAATATATTAAGCTTCTCACCCCAGATTGACAGCTTCTTGAGGCAAGACCTTATCCCTCCCACAGTGAGATCTCTCTTATGGTTGTAACTCAGGACCCAGAAATACTGATTGTCTTTGAGCTCTCCGAGGCTTTGAGCAGAGGCTGCACTCAGATGTTGCAAGGTGCAAGATAAAAATGTAGACTGTTCTAGCACGACCATATGAAAACGATAGCTGTAATAGCAGTCTCCTTTAGAAGGAAGTTGGGAGAAAATTGTATGCTGGTGCTCTCTGCTGGATAAAACCAAGAAAGATTTTTTTTTTTTTTTTCCTCTCACAGGCACTGTGGCGGCTGCGGGTTCATACCAGCGTTGGGCTCTTGGCCGCGAGGTCTCCTGCAGCTCTACCCACACTGGAACAGCCCAGTGGTGCGGGTTGCCTTTGTCTTGAACTGGCCGGGGCTAGCTGAGAGCAAGAGATGTGTTAGGATTGCTGATCTGACTCTCATTTCCTCCTGTCTCCTTCCCTTACAGTGTGTTACTTGCTGAAGAGCAACATCAGCCCAGACCTGTGCAATGAAGATGGATTAACTGCACTGCATCAGGTGAGGCATGGGAGGAGGTCACAGTGCTCTGCTGCTCCTCACTGTCGCGTCATCCCACTGCCCTTGAGCAGACCTGTCAGGGTAAACAGAGAGAGCTCTTCTATTTCATTTTTTTTCTCAGCTAAAGCAATGAAACTTTACCGTGCTGTGCTAGCGATCCTGTTTCTTGGGGAGCAAACTGAGATCAAACCCTTCTCTTGTATCCCAGACTTTGCTCAGTGATAAGAAGAGCTCAGGAATCAGGGCTGGATTTCAGACATGAACATCATTTCTCCCACCCTTTAATCTTTGCAGGCCTGGGCTATAAACTCTTAAAGCAGATTACCTGAAACTTAGAGACTTTGGCAACCCAAGAGTTTTGAAACTGGCTTAAATAAATAATGCACAGGATGCTTGGAGAGCCTGCTGCTGCTCTCTGAGACTCGGGGATTTCTGAAAGTCTGTATGAGATGGCAACAGCTCATTGCCAGTGAAATAGAGAATTGCTATAGTGGTGTGTAGGTCTGTATCCTTCCACGCAGCCTCTGCACTGATCCCATAAGGTTTTTTCTATTCCTCTTCTTAAGGCCCCCATCCCCACCCCTCCTTGCGAGTCCTGATTTTCAGCGCAGAAGCACCAGGAGAGTCAGCCTGCAGCAGGCCCGCGGGACTCGCTGTGCCTGGCAGCTGCCGCCTCCGCTGCCGTGAAAAACAGTGGTGCAGTTGTCACTCATTCCGAGGGCGGAACAGGGACTCATGGTTTTCTTGCCATTAGTCCCTTCTATAAATGTTCCCACTGACGTGGGGTTTTGGATTCTTCTGCAAGTTGCTCGCTCTCCTCAAAGCTGGATGGATGTTTGCTTAAATGCAAAGTGGCTTCTAGAAGAATACAAGGGGTGTGTGTGTGGTGGGGGGGGTGTCCCCAGCCTCTTCAAAGAGGGGTCATTCTGTGCACAGAAAAGTGTTGACAGCCTTGTTGCTTTCCCCACTAGGTACTGAAGCCATGAAAAATTCCCCCTTAAGGATAGTTATTGTAAAGGTGCATTTGGGAGTTGCAGTGAGAACTTTGCATTCAGTAGAATTACTTGAATCCCTGAGCAGAGAGAGGCTCCTAAGTGAACGCTATTGCCCATTAGCAGTGGCTTCCAGGGGAGGATGCAGTTACACTTTTGTGATAACTTGGCTGTGTGACAGCCGTGTTTTTAACCTCACTTCCATATACAAATAGTAAACAGAAACAGAAATACATAAACTGTCCTCGTCACTCAGCTGCTAAAATGCTGCTTGTGGGTTGTAATTCAGCCTCGTTACAAGCCCATACTGCAGTGCTGAGCTGTCTCCTCTGTGGGTCTGCAGTTATGTGTAGACCATGAATAGGCTTGCACAAGAATGAATCTTATTTTATTGTCTTTATGATACGCACATTCGTGTCAAGAAGCGAGCACGAGGTGGATCAAAGACCAAATGCCACCTTCCCCAAAGGAAAGCGGTTGAGGCCCTTCTTGCAGGCTGCCTCTGGAACTGTGGGGTGAATTACAGAATCACAGTATCATCTAGGTTGGAGAAGACCTTGAAGATCATCTAGTCCAAACATTGACCTAGCACTGACAGTTCCCAACTACACCAGATCCCTCAGCGCTGACACTACTCTTCAACCCCTTCAGGGATGGGGACTCCACCACCTCCCTGGGCAGCCCATTCCAATGCCCAACAGCCCCTTCTGGAAAGAAATGCTTCCTAATATCCAGTCTAAATTTTCCCTGGTACAACTTGAGGCCATTCCCTCTTGTCCTATCACTTACTACTTGGTTCAAGAGACTCATCCCCCCTCTCTGCACCCTCCTGTCAGGGAGCTGTAGAGGGCGATGAGGTCTCCCCTCAGCCTCCTCTTCTCCAGACTAAACCCCCCCAGTTCCCCCAGCCGCTCCCCGTACGACCTGTGCTCCAGACCCTGCACCAGCTCCGTTGCCCTTCTCTGGACACGCTCGAGTCATTCAATGGCCTTTTTGTAGTGAGGGGCCCAAAACTGAACACAGGAATCGAGGTGCGGCCTCACCAGTGCTGAGTACAGGGGTGAGATCCCTTCCCTGTCCCTGCTGGCCACGCTAGTGCTGACACAAGCCAGGATGCCATTGGCCTTCTTGGCCCCCTGGGCACACTGCTGGCTCCTGTTCTGCCGGCTGTCGATCAACACCCCCAGGTCCCTCTCTGACTGGCAGCTCTCCAGCCACTCCTCCCCAAGCCTGTAGCGCTGCTGGGGGTTGTTGTGGCCAAAGTGCATCGAGGTTGCTGGGTTTTTTTTCAGGACATGAAAGGTGCCCTGTGAAGCATCTCATAATTTTGGGAATCTAACTTGCATGTCTTTAGATAACTGTGGTAGGTAACGTGAGCTGCTGAGAAGACTTATGCTCATCACATGCCAGTGTGTGGGATTTTCCCTAAGAAAAGGGAATGTCAGCTTGTCAGCTCATCCCTTGGTATGTGGTTATACTGGTTACATTGAATTTCTGCTATGTTTGCTCTTGAATATGGAAGACCACAGAACAGAAGCTGTGCACGTATTTGCTATTATTCCCTGCTGGTTCTGCCCCTAAACCATAACGCCCTTTAAAACACCAGTGACCTTCAGTCTTTCCAGTTTAGGTGTTCTGCATGGTGCCTTTCTGACCTGCTTGTGCTCAGATTTGGTGTTTAACTCTGTTGGAGATGCTTGTTGCCAAACACTGCAGGATAAAGTAGGTCTCCATGTCCAGGTACCCTGGTACAACTGAGCCGGGTATGAGCCCTAATCTTCCCCCAAAGTTTAAAATAATCTGTCTTCATTTCTCCCTCACCAGTGCTGCATAGACAACTATGAAGAGATAGTCAAGCTTCTCCTCAACCATGGGGCCAATGTCAATGCGAAGGACAATGAGCTGTGGACTCCGTTGCATGCAGCAGCTACGTGTGGTCACATCAACCTGGTGAAGCTCCTCATCCAGCAGTAAGTGGCTTTTGTATTTGTCCCTTTCTGCAGATCTGATTCTACCCACAGCTTCTGTGGATGGAAACCGAGACTGCTTAGCAACTTGCGAGACTGCAGTGGTAGTGATTATTCCCTGCTTTCAGGCTACTCATGGGACTCCTTCCTGTTTGGGGGAGAATGGGGTAGAGAAAGAAGAGCAGAAAGGCTGAGGAGACACAGTAAAACACCGGGTGACTTGACTCAGTTTCATGAAGCTTCTGGAGACTGGGCGAAGATTTGCCACTTTTTGCCTGTACTCTGGTGTGTACGTGCCTGTGTGCTTGTTGAACCATGCTCACTGGACAGGTGGAAATAGGAGCAGCCAGCAGGATCCACCCTCAGGCTCTTAGACATGACTTCAGGTCTTCCAGCCACAAAGAGACACTGATGTAGGAGGACAGCAGCATGTCTGTGTAGCTCAAATACATGGGTGAACTTTGTGACCTGTCTTACTGGCTCCTAATTAGTAACCAGTTAGCTGCTTGTAATACATTTGTTCCCCAGTGGTGTGATACAGGTTGCTTGCACTGGACCTTCCACTTGACTTTACCAAGACCTTAAAGCTCAAATCCTTTCTAGCAAGCAAGAAGCCAGCAAGGAGGAGAAGCCAGATCTGTTTTGAGCTGTACCATGTGCAACATTTAATGAGCACCTGCTGCGAATCCTGGCTGGAGCAGATAGTCCTGACTCTGTATGGAGCCCTCTCCTCCATTTCAGGGAGTGACGGCAAAGAGAGCCGAGTGTGCTCTGTGAGCATTAACATGCTGCCTGGCACAGCTGTGCCTACTGCTCCTCCCCCAAGGAGGGAGACTTCTCCCGGGGATGCTGTCATCTGGGAGACACGCATTGAAAATTTGGCCTCTCTTTGGCTGTGTAGTGAAGGGAGCAGAGCAGAGGATGCAAAGAACCCTAGGAGGACTGGGGTTAAAAATTTTTTGGATGGGGGGCATAAAAATGGAGCAAATAAATGTGGAACGATGTAGTGCATTCCTGACTCTTAATTTAAGATGGGATGGGTGGCAAGGTGAAGAACTGGAGTTTATGGCCCTAGTTGTCGTAGACTGCCCTGTGTTGAGTAATTGCCAGCAAATTTTGGGCTCTGGTAGCCTAATGTCATGATCCCATGGTTAGAAACAGTTTTCCCCTGGACTTTTAAGGAATGGGGTGATTTAATTTTTTTGCTACAAAGTTGTCCTTTACAGGAGGTGTCACATATCAAATTACTGGTTAAACACTGTCTTTGAGGGCAATGTTACTGGTGATAGGACCTGAAGCCTTAGAGACCATCAAAGGAAGTAGCCCACAAAAGGTGTCCAGTTCCTTGCTTTTTTTATTTGCTGATTAAACTAATGCTGGTACTTTGCAAATGTGAATTTCAATGTAGTTTGCTCTGCTCAGGCAGAGGGGGAAAAAATAAAGCAACAGGAATCTAGATGCAAGTGGACACTGTCTGCTGTCCTTCCGTGGCTGGTAACTGTCAAGGTAGATCAGAATTCAGCTGAGAGTATTTCACAGCTAGCTAAAATGGCACAATTCAAAAGGTGTCGGAAACTTTCTACTATGTGGGAATATGGGGACCGTGATCAATATAGCTGGCAATTTTACTTCCAAACAGCGACCTCCAGGAGGCCACTTAGACAGAGAAGTGCTTTTGAATAATCAGACCAGTTGACAGGATATTTTTTTATTACTATTTTTTGAAAACATGCCCTTGACTAGATGGAAGGCTCCCCCCACCATGTAGCCCCTATCTTGCACAACTTTTCTAGTCCTTGCAAAGTTTTAATTTAAGGACCTCCGGGTGCCCAGATAACAAGCACCTGGTAATTGCTTGGCATTGTTAACCAGAAATTCAGCAAATTAATTGCTTCTGTCACTAAGAAGCTGCCAGTCTGTCCAGTGCCAGGATTAGGAGAGAACAGCAACCGCTCAGTGGCTCATGTGCCCCACAGCCCACAAAGAAGGCATAGGGTGCTGCCTTCCATCTATTCTGGAATTTGTCTTCCTCATTCATAGCTCCATGGCTTTGCTTCAAATCTATCTTCTCTCACAGAAATCTTGGTGACATTTGGGCAAGTATTAAAACACAGTTAGTTTTTTCTGAGCATTTGTCCCAGCACTTGGCTCTGTCTGCTGTAGGTGTCCCAGGCCCTTTCTCGTGTAACGCCACTCTCCCCCTGCAGCGGAGCAGACTTGTTGGCAGTGAACGCAGATGGCAACATGCCATATGACCTCTGTGAAGATGAGCCAACTCTGGATGTCATTGAGACTTGCATGGCCTATCAGGGTAAGGAGACTGAGTTTGTGTAAAATACAAAAATGGGTCAACGTAGTACTAAAAATTACCTTGTTTCTCAGCTCTTGATTTGCCTCTGGAGAAAAGCAGAGAGCTGCTGCCTAGCATAATTTCTTGGAACCTGACTCTGTCTAGTTTCTCTGATTCCTAAGTAATGATGAGGGTGAAGGACAGCTGTCAGTCCCCTCAGCCACATAGTCTCTGAAAAGGATGTGAGGTTTTATCAACCAGGAATTATTAAGTCTAACTTTACTCAACCAGCAGAGACAAAGACACTTTCCAACTCTTCTCTCACTAACTGGAATTTTAACAGGAATTACACAGGAAAGGATCAATGAGATGCGGGCTGCTCCAGAGCAGGTCATGATCTGTGACATTCATGACATACTTGCGACTGGACAAGACCTGAACAGGACTGATGCCCAAGGTGCTACGCTGGTGAGTGAAACTGCGGCAGCTTTGGTTTTGCCTCTCTTCAGCCGTAGGTTACGAAACCTGCCCTGTGGCAGGAGTTATACACAATCAACATGCACAAGTTACTGAGAGGAGTGAGGAAGCTATTTTGATCTTTTTCCCTGTTTTAGTTAATTGTCACGTAGGAACAGGCTCTGTCCTTGAGTACAGCTGACATAACTTAGTGTCTAACCCTGCACTTTGTGAAGCGAATCCCTTGTTCATGTGAGCTCTGTTGGATGTCCAGCAGCTCAGGTCCTGCAGCAAGGCTGCTGAGCTCCTGGGTCCTGTCTGACAGTGGCTGGTACCAGCAGCTTCCGAAGAAAGATGCAAGAAATCCCACAATGGGGAGCTGCAGAACAGAGCACTTCTGCTGACCTCTCGGGAAGTGGGACTGGCAAGACTTCCCACCAACCTCTTGCTTCTCGCTGGTCTCGTAGTCCGATCTGACTCCTACAGAGGAGACGTGAGAGTCCATGGGAGAGTCATGGGTGCAGAATCTGGTGCTGGGCACTCTAGGGACTTTCTGCCTCCTTTCTGCTTTGCATAGCATCTGGCTCACAGAGTCGATGGAGTTCTGTGTTTGTTCACATAGGATGGCATCTGCCCCCGGGCAGAGGAGAGCACCCAGAACAAGCGTACAAATCAAGCTGGCGTCTGATTTGGCTGGACAGGGACCAAGAAGGCTGAACAACCCTAGTCCTGTTCCCTTCTTCTTCACCTGCAAACATGTCTCTTAAATCCTTGCTTACAGCAGTCCCAACTTAGGGAAAGTTCAGTCATGTTGTCATAAATGTTGGGACTTTCATACAGCCTTGGTCATTTTGATGCTTGGGTGCAGACATAACTGATTACAGGCCACTTGGTGTCATTTGTTTGATGCCAGACCATGGCAGTGTATTCAGGTTTTTAATCTAAGTTGTTGCCTATAGCATATACCAGAAGCAATAAGGGGAGAGCAGACTCCCTCCAAGATAAACTTGGATGACTGAAGCTTTTATTGCAGCTTATTCTTTAACATGTTTTTCCCTATAACAAGGGTTATATACATTTAAGCAGACCTCTTGACTTCCTTTTTTATATCATCCCCAAGTGATTCCTTGTTAATTCATATGGCCTCTAGAGGGTATGACCCAGTGTCATAAAGTGTATGTAAAAAATAATTGAATTGCCAGAAAGCATCAGAATTTATTTCCAAATGAAGGTTTAACTTTACCTGGTGGAATTCATGTGAAAAATTTTCAAATTAAGCTTTCATCCTTCTCTTCAGCACAGTTGAAATAGGATGAGCTCTGAGTGGAGTTCATACCTTCAGAGTCGTGTATAGGTCAGTGTTTTGCTCAGAGATGCAACAGCAGACTGCAATTATGAAAACTTTCAGAGACACAAAGTGTTGTGGGGGATTAAAGGAGACTCTTCTTGATGTTTCCAAAGTGGTGGTTGTAGTTGGAAGCCAATATCTGAAAAATCTTATTACCTTAACTAAAAGTAGCCAAGGATTAAAATGTTTTTGATTTCTAAATGGTGAAAATAATTACAGTGTGAGTGGAAGTGCAATTGCACGAAGTGAGTCCTGACTAAAGCAGGCTGAAAATTTGATCAAAAAAAAATCATATCCACAGCACTTAAGTGGAAAAGATGAGACATTCTTTTGGCTTGAGGAATGCAGCATTTAGTGGATGACATTCTCCATTGCAGGCTTGTGTTTTGGTAGTGCTGTTTCCCTACAGATTGAGAAGCACTTAGGAGCCCTTAATTTTAAAAGTAAAAACATTACTTTTCTTACCTATATAAGTTATTTTAAGAACTGTTAGGCAGTTTCCTCTCCAAACAGAATTACATGCAGGTAATACTGAGTTTTAATAACAACCTGCTTTTGACCCGATGACATCTGCCAAATGTGAAATGTTCTGCCTATCCAGATCAGATGTTATTAAAGAAATTCCACTGAAACTTGGTGTATAAAACCATTCGTAGCCCTTGCAGGTGGTTCATGCTCTGTTCCTTATCTCCTAGTTGCATATAGCTGCAGCCAATGGTTATCTGCACGCAGCTGAAGTCCTTCTTGACCAGGGGGCAAGCCTGGATGTTAAGGACTGGGATGGCTGGGAACCTCTTCATGCTGCTGCTTTCTGGGGACAGGTAATGGTTTTGTTGCAGATGTCATGTATGAGGATGATATTTCTTTCTGCCTGGACAAATTGTGGAGTACTCGGCAAATGGACAAAAAACTGTACTAGGGCTGGACTCTCTGGTCCGCACCAGATGGAGTCCCTGGAGCTCCAAAAAGAATCTGTTGCTGAAAGTTCAGGGAGAGTGTGTCTGTGCAGTTGAAGGTAGGAACAATGTTTAACATCACAGACATACCAGAATAATTTGAGTTGAGCATGTGCACCATTGTTTTTTATCTTATTCCAACTTTTCAGCTTTGAGGAGGAAAGTGATTTTGCCTGAAATACCTCAATCATCTTGGCTTTCTTTCCCTTTCTTTAGATGCAGATGGCTGAGTTGCTTGTGTCCCATGGCGCTAGTTTGAGTGCCAGGACATCTTTGGATGAGATGCCAATAGGTGAGTTTACTAAGCTTAAAAAAAAAAAAAAAATTACTAAGAAAAGCTTTTCACCCTAAGCATGCTGGAATCTTCACATGATGCTTTCAGAAGCATTAATGTAAGTTTTCAGGTGCCTTTAGATTCAAAGTTGCAGTTACTTTAACTGGGACTGAAGTTTTAAAGAGCCTACTTTGTTACTTCTGAAAACACTTCTTCCTGCTCATAAAAACAAGGGAGAAGGAATTTCTCAAGCACCAAGTCTTTCTCCTGTGTGTTTCGTTACCCCTCTGTACCTGTACCTGGGAGTCTCCCTGCTCTTACGTTGTAGTCTTGAACCTGAGCAGCTTTTAAATGCAGCCCTAAGACTTGGGTATCTAACTTTTGCTTTGATTCGATGAAGTGCGGTAAGCTATAGGGGTTGGAGGGGAAAGAGAAAGCATACACAAGTCTTGGAACAGATTGGAAGTAAAAATGCTAGTATTGGACCATGTGTATTATAACCTTATGCCACATTTTCTTTTGGCAAAAGGTTTTCTGAGCCTTAATTGAAAAATTATTGCATCCTCATTTTGAAGGTTGAAAGTTTTTGTTTTGGACACGTAAGTAAGAATGATATACTCAAGGTAGCTGCAGTCTGGTAATTACAGAAATTTCTTTTCCTTCTGTCTTGAAGTATTGATATAGTGGTCAGTATATCTCTCACCCTTTCATGGGTAAAGGCACAGCATGCTGCAGGAATGGGACAAAACTGAGCTCAACAGCTGGGTCATGGCAAAGCTGAGTCCCCGTCACAATCAGCAGCTCTGGTTTTCTGCTACTGTTTAGGCATCCAAACCATTCTGCCTCCCCTAATTTGTTTAGAGATTAATGTGCCTAAGCATATTCTGCTTAAATTTCTCTTTTCTTCCTCCTAGCATTTGTAGTTGTATTATACAAGGAAGGCACAGTTAGTAAGATGGTGTTACTGGTACCACATTTGAACTGTCTGATTAATGGCTTGGTTTGTGTGTGCCATAGATCTGTGCGAAGAGGAGGAATTCAAAGTATTACTTCTGGAGTTGAAACACAAACATGATGTGATCATGAAGTCTCAGATGAGGCATAAATCCTCCCTGAGTCGAAGGACCTCCAGCACTGGCAGCCGTGGGTAAGTGCGTTGTTCCCTGCAGGTCACCCGGCGCAAGAGCTTGGCCACCCAGATGTAGCTGCAGAGCACCCTGTGGTCGGTGTGCAGAGAACAACCCGTCTGTCCTTTCTGAGCAAACTCTGAAAGGCAGAAGCTGACGTTTGCTTGCTGAAAGCAGATCTCTGCTGAAGAGTGGTTCTTTCACTAGAAAGAGGCATTGTTTCTTGATGAGAAAATGGCTTTTGTGCTCTTGTGGTTTAAGAACAGCTCTGAGCAGAGGCTCAAGTGGTGAGAGTTCACCCTGTTAAACCCATTATACTGGTGTTGGAGAATCAGTGCTTCAAGTGGATTAACTTCAGCTTCTCAGTAATTTGTCTCATGGCCAGGATACTGTGCTCAGACACAGTTTGCACAGGTCTTTATATGATGTTTATTAGTCTTCAAAGCAGACAACAAAACTCCCTAAACAGCCCATGGGACATTTCCCTCTATATTTACTCCACTGGTTGCAGAGTAGCTGCATTAAGCGAGCTGTATAAGATCTAACACAGATTTGCAGCACTACTTTAGAACTCCTTAAAATTCCTCCCACCTTTTAATATCCACACTAGTGCCTTTGCTTTGTGTGGGTGCCAGGAAGCTAAATTCACGTTCCATTCCAGTGGGAGAGGCTGTGAAACGCAAGGAGGAGGTGAGAATAGCTACAGGGTAAGAGGAAATGTCATGTCCTGCTCACGGTGTCGCTGCCCCTTCTCCCTGTCCCACAGGAAGGTGGTGAGGAGGGCCAGCCTTTCGGACCGAACAAACCTTTACAGGAAGGAGTGTGAGAAAGAGGCCATCGTCTGGCAGCAGCTGGGGGCAGCAGAAGAAGGGAGAAACTCAGGTCTCATTGGAGAAATTGGGGAGACTCGGTCTGACCAGGAGAATACAGACCCTGTAAGGAATTTTTTCTCTATTATGGAAGTCACCGAAGAGGGCTGGTAGCACAGGTTCAATAGCAGTGGGTGCCCTGGGATGGAAGGTGGCTGAAAAATTGGTAAACCTCCTCCACCAGATGTAAGCGAAAGACCAAATTCTCCTTTGGCATAAACTGGGATATCCCACTCAAGTGGAAAGACTGTTTTGGATTTACAGCTGCATAAATAATTTTGAGATATGGCCGTAGTGAACCAGGAAGTTCAGAAAAAATAGCATGTGCATTTCTCTTTACAGGTAACAGACTAGTAATCACAAGAGAAATGCAATCTTGCTTTGCAATTACCTGTTTTAAATTCAGTTATTGTCATGTTATATGCTTATCTATCTAATTATTTTTTTTTTTTGGTAAGTGAGCTCTTCTAAGTTAATGTTCCATGTTCCTGGTTGGGAACCAGCTCGTGGTTGGGGCTCACGGCATTATAGGGCCCTGTTAGTGGGTGAATTCAATGTTTGTGCTGCAGCACCTGTCTGGTAGAAAGGCTGAGTGTCAGCAGGCTTAGGAACTTGTCACAGGATGAACTATGCTGTGGGGAATGGTGGCAGATGCCTTTCTTTCATGTTTTCTTGTTACAGAATTCAGTGTTGGAGAACTCTTCCCTCCTTCCGGAGTTAGCAAACAAAAGCACCCAGTGCGACTCTGAAATCCCGCTCCAGAATGGACTCATGGCATCTGCCAGCGCTTACCAGTACACGTTTTCCAACGGGGACATTTGGAGCATGCACGCTGACCCTGACAGTAACCCAGGCCACATGCTGCCCTACGGCAACCCTGGCCTCCCTGACACACAGCAGTTCTGGGGTGCCTACAAGGAGCATAACCACACGCTCTCCGAACTGAAGCGGCAGCGGGCTGCAGCCAAACTCCTCAATCACCCTTTCCTCAGCACCCACTTTGGCAGTGGCATGGGAGGAGTTGCTGAGAATGGAGGTGAGGCCAAGTCGCACCTAATCGCATCCAGGACTTCTCCCTACAGCTCCAATGGGACCTCAGTGTATTACACAGTGTCCAGTGGTGATCCACCCCTCTTGAAATTCAAAGCTCCCATGGAGGAAATGGAAGAGAAGGTGCATGGGTGCTGCAGAATTTCCTAGTCTCACCTGCTTCTCACACCAGAAGAAACAAGATGTGGGTGGGCTGGTTGGCTCTATCGCAGCGGCCAGGTTGTCTGCATTCCAAAGGGAGAATTTGGTTATGGACATCCTGACTGTGGTGGCCTCATTCATCTTGAATTGTACTTTACCCTGCCAATTACTTCCACTGCAGTTGAATGAGTAAGGCAGGTGGAGCAAGGCTCTTATGAGAGGAAGGGATGTGCATCAATATAATGTAAAAAGGGTTGCCCTGGTCTTGCTCCCTGGGGAAGAAGGAAGGTATGGTGCACTGCCTCCCTGTCCTTAGGAAGTCATGAGATGCCTTGGAACAAAGAAGGAATCTGAATTAAAATCTTTGCATGTGAGCCTCTTGCTGTAAGTCACCAAGCTTCTGGAAGGTGACAGTTTTTTTCACTCTTGGGTAATGCATATACCCTGGAGGGGAGATCACCCCCCACCCAGGGTTTGCAAGAGTAGACAGAGCTGTTTTCCGTACAGCTGGATCCAGCACTCGCAGGGCCTGAGCAACAAGCAAGCGTAGATGAAGCGCTTGCTGTAGGAAGTTTGCAAGGTGTTATCTCCTTGCAGTGACAGCTCACCATCAGAAACTGCGCACGGGCTGGGTCCTGTTCTGCTCGTGTAAACTCGTCACTGCAGACTGCCATCAGGTTTGAAGCAGAACTTTTTCTGGAACAGGCTTCACTCAATAGGCTTTAAAACTGAAGTTGCAATAAGGGGCCCTGGCAATAGAATTTTACTGCAATAAAATACTGACAAAGGTCTATATTGGGATAAGTAATTAAAAAAACTTATTTGTACTATTTAGACTCTTAATTTGTTAAAACTGAAAAGACTTTTGCTGATCTCTTTCCTATTGATTCTGTTTTACTCTGTACGCTCAACACAGATACTAAGGGCAGTATGCTTTGCATTCTGATTTTTTTCTAGTTTTCCAGAACCACAGGGCTCAGGAGGGATGAGGAGGAAAGGCTTGCTGACACTAATCTAGAAATGCCGTGAAAGCATTTCTCATCTCCCTAGATGTTACAACACTTGCATTAACCTGCAGTCTTTGGCTGATAGATAACTGTTAAATCATTGCTTTGGTACTTGAGCATTGCTGCAGGGCAGGAGAATTTTTTTTGTCGGTTTTCCAGCTCCCATGCTGAAGTCGTCAGCAGTGGTTAGTAGCTGTCAGAGGAAGTCTTAAAATGCCTCTATGTATAAGGGAGTTGCCTGGCACTGTGCAGCGCTTGGCCGAGCCGCTCTGCTGTAGGGCAGCTGGCACACCAACTCCCGTGTTTGACTGTAGTTCATGTTAGCCCTGACAGACTACCTGAGAAACACTGGCACGGTATAACCTGGGGCTTTGGCACTGGCTCTCCGCAAGTTAAGGCTTTGCATACCTGGGGGAGGTGAGAGTGCCCTGTGGGAGACAGCTCTGAGAAACTGGCCACGGTTGAGTTAAATTGCATCTACAGAAGTAACTGAAAATCTTCAACCCTTTTTCTGCACAGAGGAGCTCTCGCACACTATTTGCCTGCATGAATTTGTGTCATCTTGGGCCGTTTAAATTCCAAACTCTGAAAACATAGGCCTGTTTGGGTCTCCGTGAGCCATCAGTGGATTAAATCCACTGCACATAGTTGTTCTTCAGCCAAGCAACAGCAAATGCAGCTTCCACCTATCTTCCTTTTGGCTGGCAGATGTTAGACATCTATATTACCCTTCACATGTACGCTTGCCCTGGGGGAATCCTCACAGCCTTTTCTTTTTTCTGGGCTATAAAAAGTTGACTTAGGCTGCTAGTGATTGTTAAGCGCTAACCTCTGATCACTGTCACATCTAGCCCAACACTGGGGTGATATATTATGATACAGGGCTCTGGGCTCTTCATTCTGGGCTCCTCGAGGCAGCAGAGGTGGCTGTGTCACCACCACAACCACACTGGGCAGGAAACACTTTCGGACCTGTAAGGTTATTACCAGGCTGACAGTTTACTCTTGAACTTTTGAAGATACAATTCTCTTCCCTCACCAGTTTTAGGAACAAATTAGAAAATGGTAGCAGTTGATCTGATTTATTTTTTTTTTTTAAACCTCACTTCAGTTAAAGGCAGGGGGTTTCTTTGTATGTTTGGAAACATTCAGAGAAGTTTGTGCTTCCTCCATTATTGAAATGCATATGCTAAATATAAGACTAGGAAATACTTCTTGTGCTTGACTTAACCTTAAGGGATTTTAAAAGTCTTTCTCTAGTAGAAAGAAGATGATCTGGTAACTGGACAGACTTTGCCCCATCTGTGTGTGATTAACAGTGGGTCTTCTGATTATCTGGAGAAAATTCTTCTGGGATAACATCAGGTGTAGCCTGGCAGTTACTGAACAGGGGGAGGTGATTTTTCAGATGCCTCTTCTCCCACAGTGGTGAGGATTGTCTCTCCACGTCCATCCGAATGAGAATTCTGGACTCAGTGTAACAAATATTGGTGCCTCTATCCACTAGGTTGTAAGTGGTGTAAAATTTGGGGCCTGCTGATGCCTTCCCTCCCTCCCAGGGAAGGAGGAGTTGGGCCCTTTTCCTTCTCAGAGCAATTTTGTGCTATCGAGTGTATTGGATCCTACCTAACCAACAGGACACTGCTGAATGCAATAGTTTAAGGCTTGCTTTCACTGAAAGCTGTTCATGCAGTAAAACTGTAGGAAGCCAGTCCAGTTTAGACAAACAGCTTTTAGTCCATTGATATTTCACTTTGTTTATATGTAAAACTCCAGGAACTCGTCACTCTAGCTGTGATCTTGAACAAGCCAACAATTAAATCTGCTATCAGGCAAAAGAGATTACAGGTTCTAGATTACAAAACATCCCCCTAATTGGACTTGTAATTGTAAAATTGACTGTAATACAGCTCTTCTTGCTTTATCACTGTAAGGTAACATGCTCACTGAAGTCTAGTGGTGTCTGATCAAATGTAATCAATTCTTATTCAGACAAGAATCACTAGTCGATAAATCTTCCAGGATATGTTTCACAGCCATGCCAAGTATTTATCTACCACTGGCTTTGGGTTGAAGTTGCATCAGTGTAGGACTTGCAAAGGCTGATGAAGAGTGACCTAGAATGGATTCATGTTTATGCATGAGTGATGTTTGAGATCTAATGGTCACTGCCTGTGGGGTGCTGGCAAATCCGCTCGGAGAAGGAGCTCAGATTGTAGGTCTGGGATGAGTTCTGTAAAGTGGATATTTAACCTGCTTCTGGTAAACCATTTGGCAGAGACAAACAGGCTTTTGGGAGAATAACAAAAACATAGATACTCTTATGTGCATTGTAGGAACCAACCTCTAGGAATAGAACTTATTATTATAAAGTTTAGCAGTGTTACAACAATAGTGGGGTTTTATATCTATGTGTTTTAAAGGCCATCCCAGTGGAAAGCTCTGAGGCACACAGCAGCAGGCACTTGGCTATTTCATTGGATCTTATGATTGCTAAAGAGCTGTAGAAACTTGAAATCATATTGTGACTGGTATGTCTAACACGGCTTATTAGAGGAAGATTTGGGGTTTTTATGCGATACTCAGTGTTTTTAGGCTCAATAAACATCTAAGTACAGATCTGAGATCAGAGTCCCACTCGTTAGCAGTAAGCCGAAGGTTGTAGTTGTTCATATAGACTACACAATGATTTGAGAATGTGGATATATTGACGGGTCTATTGTAGGCAGAGCTGCACATGAGAATTAACCTTTCTGCTTGCAAAATCTTCTTGTATGCTGAAGTCATGCTGTTTCTAGCAAACTGATTCATAAGAGCAGCTTTACTTTCCACGTTGAAAGACTTTTTTCAGATGGAAAAAAAGTTGTCTCTCAAACAGTGACTCCACTTTACTGAGCTCAATCAAGAAAGTCCCAGCACTGAAATGTTAGATAAGGGCTTAAGTCCCATTGCTGGGACCTGTTTGATGTCAGACCTGGATCTGTATTTCATGTACAAAGTGATGCGATTTTAGCCCACTTGGTTTCACTTCTGTGGTGCTCCAGAACCTGAAAACCCTCCCAACTGGGAAGAACTGAGTCTAGCGGATGTGATTCTGTACCATCTTGCAGGTGTAGTTGAAAAACCACGTGGATGAGGAACCCCTGGTAGGGAAGGAGAAGAGCATGACAGGACAATAGCAATAATTAATTGGTGCAATACTCAGTGGAGGCCAGTGAATTCTCTAGTTTATTGAGCAGGGCTTTATTTCATGGGGTTGAAAGCACTTACAAGCTCCCAAATGGCATTACAACTTCTATTCAGTGTCTTTTTGCTTTAGTCTTGGAGCTCTGTTTACCCAGATCTTCTCTGCTGAAACTAAATCAGCAATACCATGAAATAGGAACATCTTAAACTGAGAAAGCAATAGCACTGGTCTCCAGTGAGCCACAGATGAACTGTTATCTGTCTGCTGGAAGGTGTTCTCCTTACGTCTGGATATTTCTGTGCCTTATCATACTTGCTAAAGGTAACTCAGTAACTAGTCTCTGGAAGGTTTGCGGTGACTGTACAGTGCTGGTTTTTAACTTGGAGACTGTTTTGCAAGGGGTTAACAGTTCAGAGCATACCAGATTTTTAAGTTTTTAATTTACTTCAATTTCTCTCATGATCACCAGTTCTCTTCCTAAATACACAGAAAAGGGTCTTCATTCTGATTTAACAGATCAAAGTGACCTGCTTTGTTATATCAGTTCTCTACAGGCAGAGTCCAGAACATGCTTGTAGCAGCAAAGTCTAGCCTCTTACTACAGAACCTGGCTAATATTTACATTTTTTGGTTTGTTTTGCCTGTGTCTGTACAACAGACTTTACTGTCTCTGATTGTTCTTCAGCTTTATTCTGCTGTTTTCATGTTGGCCAAACTGGTAATGGACTTCTCAATTCCCCCACACAATGAGAGCACCACTGTTTTTTTTCAGGCAACATCTGCCATGGCACAATTACGACCTTGAATATTTTGGTGTATTTCAACTGCAGAAGCTGTAGTAGAGGAGATTCTGTTTGAGATGTCTGTTCCCAAACCTACACCAATGCAATTATCTCCACCCCCAGCTGGAGGGAAGATACGGATTTTTAAACAGTGCAGATGCAGCCTTAGTATTGCCACCTCTACATCTTTGCAGTGTGAGAATGGGCTGTAGGAGTGTCGGTAACGCAGGTACAGCTCGGTGTGACTGCTGCATGTACGGGACATTAACAAATGACGGCAAGCCTTTTGCAATAACTCGTAATTCCATCCATCAGTAGTAAGCGATGTACAAATAAAAAATGATGAGATGTATTTTATGTGAAAAAAAAATAATATAAGAACTGTATATTGTATTAGCAGCTTTGTGTATAAAATGGCATTTTGGCAATCAGAGTCTAATATATTTAAAACATTTTTTAATAAAGGATATTTGATATTGTATGGAATTGACTTTATTGCTACTGTAAGTATGAAAAGATGGTTTCCTAACATGTTGAAGCAATGCATAAAATCTTAAAATCGTATGTAAAACTCATGCCAAAAGGGTATGTCTGACAGTATTAGCACCTGACTCTGTCTTTAATAGAGAGATTGAATTTTTTAATTTAAAAATTATATTAAATTTCTTTTAATAATACAAAAATGGCCTTGAGTTTTATTTAATCCGTTTACATTTTGGGATTCTGCTTAAATGTCTCTACTTGTCTCTCGGCTGTACGTACAGCCAGGAGAGGCCTCGGAGAGCAACTCTAGCACGGGTAGGTGTAACTTTCTATTTTTCAGCAGGTACCGGTTATTTGTGATGGGGATGCGCAGGAAGGCCAACACCGCAACGGCCTTTTCCGGATTTCGCCGCGTCCGAGGCTTTAGGCCCGGCCTCCGCTAACGCGTTTCTCCGAGGGGGTGACAGGGGCGAAGGCGAAAGCCCACTCGCCCTCCCGGCGCCGCCTGACGGGTCAGCGGGACACGGAGCGGGGCCTGCGGCAGCCGGGGCCAGGCCCTGAAGGGGCTCGGCCTGGAGCCGGGGCGGCGTCCGATGGCC